TTATCAGGAATAGAATCAGTGAAGTGACATGATAGACATTTGCATGAATTTAAATATTCATTTTTGAGGCGAAAAGGAAAATTTGTCGTCACTTGAAGCTCATTGCTCCCTCCTCAACTCGACTATCTCGTCCTTATTTATTCAAAAGTTCATTAATGACTATTTGACATGGAAATGGAAGCAGTTTGTTGTATTGCTGCATATGAGATTGTAAATTTTCTGATATGAGGGTTATGTGTGGGCGTGTGTAGTATGTGCTGTTGGAGCTAATGAGCGAATTTGGTGTGAATTTTCAAGTTTTAAGGTTAAAAACTGGATATAATTGTAAATAGTCGCACGTTGCACACCACTTTTGGTGTCTTGATGATAAAATTGTCAATAGTCGCATGTTGCACACCACTTTTGGTGTCTTGATGATGAAGTTGTCAATAGTCACACGCTACACACCACTTTTGGGGTCTTGGTAATCAAATTGTCAATAGTCACACGCTGCTCACCACTATTGGTGTCTTGGTAATCAAATTGTCAATAGTCGCACGTAACACACCACTCTTGAAGTCTTCCAGCCATACATACACCCCCTTCCACACTGAAATTATCTCCCCAGCATCCATAAAAGTCATTTTAATCCAACAATAGATAACAATCATCTCGATTACAATAGAAATTGGTGGGAATACAAGCATAATCAAGGGTCAGACACTCCAACAGAATTGTAAGGATTGTACAATTCCTACAATCTTTCTATCAGACTTGCGTCATTTCATTTCGAAGAAATTCGAAATTGGCTTCGAAAAATTCGAAATTTATTTCGAAAATTTAAACTCAATTCAACCGGTAAAACTTTAAAAAATTCTATGCTGAATTTTGAGCATTTTAGCTATGATAACTACTGTCAACTAGCTTAGAATCAAAGATTGTTATTATTTATGAACATTGATAAGCTTTAAAATCATGAATATCAAGAAACAAAAGAGTTTTTTGCAGAAATATTTTCAAGAAATTTTTACACTTACACACTTACATTTTTTTGTTGACATTTTTCAATTTCAACTGAATTTTCTTAATTTAGGAATTTTCTTACTTAAAACAATGATTAACAAATTACTGATCACATATTTAGTGATACTGATCGAAAAGCTTCATAATCTGTAGCTTAATTAAAGCAAAATTTTATTTAACGGAAAATAAATTTTGAATTTTTCAAAATTTTACATAACTGCCAACATTCGAAATGACGCAAGTCTGCTTTCTATGTGAGGATTGTAAGGATTGTACAATCCTTACTAAACAAAAAACAATGTCCATTTATTTTTAAAAAATAAGATAAAATACAAAAAATGAAGAAAGTCAGAAATTTCTTTGAAAACAATTATATTTAAAATGCAATAATTTACCGTGAATCAATTCGAATGATTTTTTATACATTTCAACTCATTAAAAAGTTGTAAAAAGTATAATTTTTACACCGGTGAACAGGGTGAGTGATTTAAATCAAAAATCAAAATCTTTTTGCAATGATTTTTAAAAGAAATTTTGATTTAAATCATTTTTGTATGGGGATTTTTTTTTTTTGGGATTTTGATTTAAATCTCTTGTATGAACGATTTTATTGGGATTTTAAAATCCCTCGATGTAAAATTTTTGTATTCAATTTTTCAAATTATTTTTTAAATCAACAGTTTTCAGTTGCAGTTCCTAAAGTAAGAATGCAGTTGATCATTTTTTGGCCAGAATCTTGCAAATGGATCTTTTAGATCCAAGCAGTTCTTAAAGAAAGGTTACAGCAACCAATGGTTCCATGCTGTTTGACTGAAACGAAATCCAATTCGTGATTTTTTATCTTCTGTGCCTTGATGTACGAAAGGAACCGGCCATTTCCGCAAAAAAAATTTTGATTTCAAGAGGTGAATCCTTGATGAAAAAGCAACAAAAAAAATTTTTTTGTGGATGTAAAGGAACTAGGCAGTTCAAGTGCCTATTCTTGCTTATGACTCATTAAACTAACGTACTGTAATAAAAGATATTTAAGTTTTTGAAAGCATTGAAAGCAGGGAAATCCTCATATGAAGTAAGATCCAGGCATGATTGATAAAGTCCAGTTATTTATATGCAAGCAGCAAAGCACAGAAGATTAAAAAACACGAAATGGATTTCGTTCAATTCAAACAGCATGGAACTATTGCTGTAACCATTAATTAAGAAATATTTGGCTCTAAAAGATCCAGTTGCAAGATTCAGGCCAAAAAAGGATCAACTGCATTCTTACTTATTAGGAACTGCAACTGAAAACTGTTGATTTGAAAAATAATTTGAGAAATTGAATACAAAAATTTTACATGGAGGGATTTTAAAATCCCAATAAAATCTTTCATACAAGAGATTTAAATCAAAATCCAAAAAACAATCCCTTTGAAAAAATGATTTAAATCAAAATCCTTTTTTTAAAATCATTGCAAAAATATTTTGAATTTGATTTTTGATTTAAATCACCCTGGTTTAAGCGTGACCATCTGCGTAGTTTTACAACGGACAGAATTGATATATCAAGTTTATTTCGTTCTTTAAATTCAAACAAATAAATTTTTAATATTAAATTAATATTTCTTCTCTAATAACCAATGAAAAACATTTTTAAATGTTCCATACATTTATTCATCCTTACAATCTTTATATGGAAAGGATTGTAAGAATTACAATCCCTACAATCCTTTCCATATAAGGATTGTACGGATTACAATCCCTACAATCCTTCTCATATAAAGATTGTAAGGATTGTAAGGATTGTACAATCTTTACAATTCTGTTGGAGTGTCTGACCCTTGAGCATAATTGATGTATCATCGAATGCTTCAGGGTGACAATTGTGTCATGCTACATGATGCGATTACGAAGACTTTTCTGGGGATTTTCTCTTTATTTCCATTTTAGTTAAGCTTTACTTGTTCAATTGATTGTCAATATTTGGGTACGGGATGAGAAATATCGATCAATTGAGAGATGAGCAAGAGGAGGTATCGATTATAGGAATGAATTTGGGTTAATGAACTGCTTGGAGGTGAATCAGAGGATGGCAAAGTTGGAAGAGTCGTTAGTTGTATGCGACTATTGACAAATTCATCACCAAGACACCAAAAGTGGTGTGCAGCGTGCGACTATTCACAATTTTATCACAAAAACACCAAAAGTGGTGTGCAACGTGCGACTTTTGGCAATGTTGACATAAAGATCCCAAAAGTGGTGTGCAACGTGCGACTTTTGACTCTCTTGAGTTCAAATTTGATAGTAAACGACCAAAATTCTCAAAAAAGCACATCCAAAATCGTCAAAATGTAAAACTATTTTTTTTTAAATTTAAATCCTGAGATTTTCCGCTTGAGAAATTTTAATAATTGACAATGCTGTGATTAAATTAGACGCAATTTGTGAAGTCATTGAGACGAATCAAATTTATCTGATCATTTAAAATCCATTGAGATGTTGAATAGGATAAGATAAAGTGCGTTGTGTGATGAAGGGACTCAAAATTCCTTCAATCCAGTTCCGCTAACCTCAAAAACTGTAAAAATTGTAAACATGTTCTCGTCAATATTGTTGTAAAAGTGCAAATGCGCTTTGTAGAACCCATCTGGGAACTTTTGAAGCATTTTTAAGTCAATTGTTATGTTGTGGAGGGGGAGGGGGCCCTAAAAAACATAAATGTAAGGTAAGCTTCTAGCAACAATGGTTAAGACACTCACAATGTACGGACATGGATGAAAAATTGACATTGGAAGCTCTTTCCAGATAACATCGACTAGCCAGTTCATGAGAATATCGTTTTGGCCCCTTAGATGCTCACAAAGGTTGATTGTTTTGTTGATTAGAACTCGGTATGCGGTACCGACTGGCTGTTTGTACATGACTGCTGTATCAAACTGAAATTTTTTAAAAAATGGAAAAAAAAAAATCTGAAAAATTTCAAAAAAACACCGAAATTTTCATAAAAAATACCGAAACTTTCAAGAAAAACACCAAAATTTCCGTGAAAAACACCGAAATTTTCATTAAAAACACCGAAAACTTCATGAAAATATCGAAATTTTCAAGAAAAACACCGAAATTTTCATAAAAAATACCGAAACTTTCAAGAAAAACACCGAAATTTCCGTGAAAAACACTGAAATTTTCATTGAAAACACCGAAGTTTTCATTAAAAACACCGACCTTTTTATGAAAAACACTGAAATTATCGTGAATATCATTGAAATTTTCATGAAAAACGCCGATATTTTCATGAAAAACACCGAACTTTTCATGAAAAACAACGAAACTTTCAAGAAAAACACCGACATTTTCATAAAAATACCGAAATTTCCGTGAAAAACACTGAAATTTTCATGAAAAACACCGAATTTTCCGTGAAAAACACCGAAACTTTCATGAAAAACACCGAAACTTTCATCAAAAATACCAAAACTTTCAAGAAAAACACCGAAATTTCCGTGAAAAACATCGAAATTTTCGTGAAAAACACCGACATTTTCATGAAAAACACCGAATTTTTGATGAAAAACACCGAAATTTTCATAAAAAACACCGAACCTTAAAAACATTTTCAACACTCACAATAATCTGATGCGTCAGAACATCAAAATGTAGCAAAACATTCAACTTTGCAATATATCGATTATAAGCTTTAATTGTACACGTGTAGTTAGGACTAAAAGTTTTTCCTGTTATCGAGCACTTAACAGTCTTAAATCTTGCATGAATTGGAGCTTTTTGTTTGGCAAAAACGATTGAATTTAAAAAATAAAATATTAAAAATAAAATAAAGCTGATTTTTAATATTTTTTTGGACAATCGTTGAGTTGGTTTCATGCTTGAATACTTAAAATTGACGACTGTTTTGTTTTTTGTTGAATCAAAAGATAGAAAATCAGAAAAAATAAATTAAAATAATTAAAGTAATTTTAAAATTTTTTTTTTAAATTCATTTTTTTTTTGACAAAAAGTTTTCAGAATTCTTTCAATCCAGTTCCAGCAACTTCAAATGTTGTAAATACTGTTATAATATTTGGATCATCGTCATTGTAGAAATGCATAACAACTTTATAAAATCCATCGGGAAATTTTTGAAGAATTTTCATGTCAATTGTTATGTTATGCAGCAAGAATGGACCCTAAAAGTCAGAATTATGGCATCAATTGGCTTATTTTTACAATTGTGTGTCTCAATCATACCAAATATGGACACGGATGCAACAGTGACATTGGCATTTCCTTCCAAATCAGATCAATAAACCATTGCATAAGAATGTCTGGTTTTCCTCCGAAATGTCCACAAACGTCGACTGTTTTGTTGATAATTATTCGATAAGAAGTGCCAACTGGCTGTTTGTACATGATTGAAGTGTCGAACTGCCAATTTTTGATTATTTTTTAATAAAATCATTAAAAGTTTTTGTGAAAAACATCGAAAAATTTGTGGAAAACATCGAAATTTTCATTTAAATTTTTCGTGGAAAACATCGAAATTTTCATTTTAAAAACTTCAAATTTTTCGTGGAAAACATCAAAATTTTCATTTTGAAAACATTGACGTTTTAGTGAAAAACATCGAAAAATTTGTGAAAAACATCGAAATTTTCGTTTTAAAAAACTTCAAAGTTTTCGTGGAAAACATCGAATTTTTCATTTTAGAACCATTAAAGTTTTTGTGAAAAACATCGAAAAATTTGTGGAAAACATCGAAATTTTCATTTAAATTTTTCGTGGAAAACATCGAAATTTTCATTTTAAAAACTTCAAATTTTTCGTGGAAAACATCAAAAATTTCGTTTTAAAAACATTGAAGTTTTTGTGAAAAACATCGAAATATTTGTGGAAAACATCGAAATGTTCATTTTAAAATGATCAACGTTTTTAAGAAAAACATCAAAATTGTCCTGAAAAACATCGCAATTTTCGTGAAAAACATCGAAATTTTCATAAAAGTTTTAACATTTTTTTAAAAAATTCTTACTAAAGCTTGGTACGTGGCTACATCAAAATTCACTAAAACTGTCAACTTAGCGACAAATCGGTTGTAAGCTTTTATGCTGCAAGTGTAGTTAGGATTGAATGTTTTATTCGACGATGTACATTTGACAGTCTTAAATCTCGCGTAAATTGGAGCTTTTTGTTTTGCAAAAATCATTGAAATAGCTAAAAATGTAAGCACAACTATAGTTTTTGAACTGATGAGAATTTGCTGTAGTTCCTTAGTTCCAGGTTTGGCTCTTATAGCTTTCCTGCTTTGAAAAAATTTCATTTTGACCGAAGGAACATAAAATGATTCAAAAACTAAATTCTCATATAATAATTTTTAAAAATAGAAAAAAAAAATCAAAAATTATTTGTAATTTTAAAATTGACCAAATTATAAAAATTAAAAATAATTTTTCTTTTATTTTTTATTTTTTTAATACGGTGTAAAATACTCAAACCATTCAGATCAAAATTGGGAACCCCGCAAAAACTTTATCAATTTTTGGATTAATAATATTTATCAAAAAGACGCGATAGCTGTAAATAGCTTATTGGGATTCCTTTTTAATTATCTAATCAATTTAATTGAAGCTATCGATATTGATTTTTACTATTAATATAAGTATCTAAATACAGAACTGGAGCTAGATTGTCCGTCTGCAATTGGACTCAAAGTAAAGGCTGATCCATCAAAGCAGTGAAGGCAAACCCAAGTGTGAAAAAATTCTGGATATTCAACGAACCGTATGCTGTGTGCGGTTTTGGTTATGGCTTACTACCAAGTGTGACCTGGTGCAAAATAGGTTTAACACCACTACATCAAAAGATTACCAGAACTATATGATTCACTATCAAGCAAGGCTAGAATCTCAAAAAATAGCCTAAAGCAGTCCATTCCATCAAGAACCCTAACTACGCCACTATTATCAAGACATAGATAAGCAATAATACTGAATTGAAATGGAATGTGAAGTAATATTGACTTACTCTTATCTTTATTAACCAATTTATTCGATACACTGAACATATATAAGAAGCTACTGGCTAGCTTATGATACCTTTATTCATACAATTCAGATTGAAGTAACAGGAGGTGTGAATAAGTAGCTGGACAGTTTGGATTACATAGCTCAAAAAAGATTTTGAATTAATTAAGGTTCTTGTTTGATAGATAATGTAAGTAAAAAATTGCAGTCCGTGCGTCATATATTGAAGAAAACTGTAAGATTTTCACTTTGTTCGTAATTTTCTGGAAAACACTTTGAAATATTTATTTCGTGCGTCATATTTTGGAGAAAACTTTATAGCTTTTTTTTCTGTACGTTTTTTTTTTGAAAAAGACTGAGATTTTTAACGTATGCGTCATATTTTGGTGTAAACTATCATAGTTATTCTTCATGCGTCATATTTTGAAGAAATCTAACATTTTTGCTTCGTGCGTTATATATTAGATAAGACTGTAAAATTTTTTCCCGTGCGTCATATTGTTAACTTTAACAGTTCCCATCCTGAACTTTAATAAGTTTTCACTTATCAAGTTTTATTCCCTCTCCAACACTCCCACAGGTTCATCACTAAAGTCTTCATCCTAATCATCATCGCATCCATCACCAACATCAACAACACATCAGCCCTCAAACTCGAATGCACTTATCGCGAGCCAGATCTACACTGGGAAGCATTTTCCCGTGACTACACGTGTGAAGGAACAATCAGACTTGATGGCGATGATGAAAATATTAGAACAGTCACGAATACGCATCGAGAACAAATGAGAAATGCAGACGTTCGCGGTCTTATGATTGTTCAACAGCGTGACTTGCAGAAATTTCCAAAAGGACTTGAGCGACACTTCCATCATTTAATAGGAATTGACTTTGAAGATTGTGGATTGACAAAAATATCAAGTGATGATTTGATGCCATTTAAGGAACTCTTGCAGATCAACTTGAGTGGGAATCGATTAACGGAACTTCCAAATGATTTATTTCAGTTTAATCCAAAATTAAAGAAAATTGACTTGAGTGGGAACTTGATCATGCATGTTGGACTTGAAATCTTTAATAACTTACAGCACTTGACTATGATTAACATGCATGACAATGCCTGCACATCGGATAACGCATACGCAACTAAAAAAGAGGAATTGAAGGAACTTGTTTGGGAATTGTCAGTCGAATGTCCACCAACACTTGATATGCTGTCAAGCTCATTGTTTGGATCAAAAGAATTCATTGACAATATTAAGAGAATTTCAGGCGAGGATTCTGATGATGTTAGGAATGAGCTGTTGAATGAGATTCAGGGGTTGGAGAAGATCGTGCAGGAACTTAAGAGAAGATTGTAGATGAGAGTAATGAGCTTCAATCTAGGGTTGGTTTCTAGGTCTACCCAAGGCAACCCATGGGAAGACGCAGTGTGCCTTAATGAGCCCTAAAACCTACCCCTAGCATCCAATAAGACAGAAATTGGGATTATTTGTGATAAAATTGACATTGTAACTTTATTGTAGTAAATAATTAATAAATATATATGCATCGGCTATAAAATAGCAAAATCATTAAGCTTCATCAAAATCCAGCAAGATTATGCCTCAAAATTCCTTCAATCCAGTTCCGCTAACCTCAAAAACAGTAAAGACTGTCAACATGTTCTCATCATTGTCATTGTAAAAATGCATATTGACTCGATAAAATCCGTCCGGAAATTTTTGAAATAATTTCATATCAATCGTGATGTTGTGCATCAGAAATGGACCCTGAAAGCAAATTTTGTGCTAGAATATTGGATCTAACTTGAACAACACATGTCGGTTAGTTGAATAAAAATGCAGCAACATGCCGCTGTGACTTTAGAATGGTGCTGAATTCGATGTAACTCCAACACATGTTAGAGCAGTTAAGTGCATTGCTGGTCGAATAGGTAAGGCACTGGGCTCAAATTTGGTATGGTAACTTGAAGGTCGTCGGTTCGAATCCAGCCATTTCCAAATTTGTTCTTTTTCAGAAGTTTAGATACTTCGACTGCTTAATGTACGAGATCAAGCCATAATTGGGCATTTTGGGCAACGTTGGATTAAGGAACGGATCAGGAACTTGAAGTGTAGCGGGAGAAATAGGAACGAGAGCTACAAGATTACCTTATAATGGAATATTGTCAGAACGGACCTGAAATGTATCACGTCACGCCCACAGAAGATTGAAACGAGAGCCTGAATTTAATCGAAAACCTAGATTTGAAGATTAGAAGCTTGATTCTACGTCACCCATAGTGATATGAAATGTATCACTAATCAATGTAAAAAGTAAAAACATGTATAAATACTAATTCTTCCGGACGGTAACGTCGACAAATAAATAATAATAATAAAATAATGTATTAAGTCACAATTCAATTAACCGACTTGTGTTATTCGGACAAAGCTAGGATGTCCATCAATTTTTGATGATTTTTTGGAAAGCCTTAAAGATTTAATTCGGGGCTTTGGTCAAAAAACTGGCACTGTACCCCCCCCCCCCCCCCCCCCCAAAAAAAACGGGCAGTTAGACAGCAAATGTCAAATAGCTTACAATGTATGGACATGGATGTAAAAGTGAAGGTGGAAGTTCCTTCCACAGTAATTTAAGATACCATTCTAAAAGAACGTCACTCTTGCCTCCAAGATGTCCACATATGTCAGCTGTTTTGTTGATAAGGACACGATAGGAAGTTCCAACTGGCTGTTTGTACATTACAGACGAGTCAAACTGGAAAATTAAGGAACTTTTCATTAAAAGCTCAAAGAAAATGTTCAATTTCGTACCAAAATCTGATAAGTTTTGACATCAAAGTTCACCAGAACTGTCAACTTTGCAGCATATCGATCATAAGCCTTAATACTGCAGGTTATGTTGGCATTGAATGTTTTATTTGACGAAGTACATTTCACAGTTCTAAATCGTGCCATAATTGGAGGTTTTTGTTTAGCTAAAGTCAAAGCTGTTAAAATTATGTAAATTGAGAAAATTAAACACTTTACTAAGTCCATTCTTGTTAGAGTTGATATTTTTATTGTAGAACTCTTTTGTAAAATTTAACAATTAAAATTAAAATCTATTTTTATCAAAAAAAAATGTTGGAAATCACAAACTTCCTCTTTTATTTAAAATTCTTTCAAAAGTGTCCCACCAACTTCAATAATTGCCCAAATTTTCATAATATTGTCATCATTTTTGTTGTAAAAATGCCATGAAGCTTTATATAAGCCATCCGGTAGATGATTCATGTTATCTAGAGCTATTGATACGTTGTGCAGTGGAAATAAACCCTGAAAAAGAAGCTAGTCAAGGAGCCGTTCACTTATGACGTCTTGGGGGGAGGGGGGGCAGCAAAAAAGAATAATAGAAATTCCTAGAAATCCATTGTTCTTTTTTGAAAAGTGACCTTTAATGTTTGACGTCATTAGTGAACGACCCCCAACCAAATATCAAACTATAATCATAAATAACCTAACAATGTATGGACATGGATGCAGCAACGATTTCGGCAGGTCCTTCCAAAGCAAATCAATAAGCCACTGCATAAGAACATCCTTCTGACCTCCTAAATATCCACAAATGTCAATTGTTTTGTTAATAATGACACGGTAGGAGGTTCCCGTTAGCTGCTTGTATACAACGGACAAATCCAGCTGAAAATAATTTTTTTATTTTTGAATTTTCCGGAAAGTTTAAATGAAAAACTTTTGAAATCTTACAAATGCATCATGAGTTGGGACTCTAAAGTTTACTAAGATGGTCAATTTAGCAACGTAGCGATTATAAGGCCTGATCCTGCATGTGTAATTTGAACCAAAAGTTTTATTCGATGAAATGCACTTCACGGACTTAAATCTAGCGAATTCCTGAGGTTTATCTCTTGAGCAATTTATTAAAATACAAAATAACAAAATTATTTGTAGGTTTTTTAAAATTGACAAGAATTCAAGAGTCATCGCTTCCTACAAAAAACGTGAAACCACTGAAAATATTAAACAATTTTTGTTTTCAAAAAAATACTCAAAAACTGGCCAATTTTTATCATTTTTTTATTAAAATATTTTTTTTTAAATTGTTAATACTTCAAACTACGAAAATTTCAGACATCATTAAAAAAACTCAAAAAAAGGCTTCCATGCAGCAACTCAGACACGCTCTTTTATAAACAACTCAGCACAATGATGCTCATCTTCATTCATCAATTTATGTCTATTTATAGCGTCAGCATTCATCAATCATATTTTTGTACTCATTTTTTGCTTTACTTCTTCATTATTGCGCTTCGGTTGGTACTTTAGATGATCTTGTGTTGATTTTGAAGGATTTTCAAGCATCAGATGCCTCTACACTAGAGTTTTATGATTCAGGTGCCTTCACAATAGGTTTCGAACGCTCATGTTTCTTCACATTAGAGTTTTTAGGGTCAAGTGCATTCACACTACGTTTTTTGAGGTTCAGGTGCCTTCACACTAGAGTTATATGGTTCGAATGCCTTCACAATTGGTTTCGAGGGCTTATGTTCCTTCACATTAGAGTTTTTAGGTTCAGGTGCATTCACACTACGTTTTTTGAGGTTCAGGTGCCTTCACACTAAAGTTATATGGTTCGAGTTCCTTCACAATTGGTTTTGGGAGCTCATGATCCTTCACACTAGAGTTCTTAATTCAAATGACTTCACACTAGGTTTCTTAGAATCAGGTGCCTTCACAGTGTGAAGGTTTAAGCTTCGTTAATCAAAGAATCCCACAAAATATCCACAAGAACCTTTCGTGAAGCGTTAAAAAAAGAATTTAATAAGAAACATGTTCCATCTTCGTATGAAAAGAGGCAAAAGTAGAAGACAAGCACTTAGAAGATTTCTTCAAGGCTCTTCGTACTCTTTAAAAACCTCAATCAATCTTCTTGCTTTATGTCATTTCCTTCTTATTCCACCTCATATTTTCGTCTTCTTACTATCACTTTTTTTTCTCTCAAAACATGCCTCAATGTTTGCCTTTGTCGCATACTAATAAATTGGAAGTGTCAAATTGAGATGTTAAATGAGGCTTGCATGATGGAATGGAATTTTTTCCGGTTGTTCCGTTGAGGATTCTTGGTTCGTGCGACTGAAAAAAGAAAGTTCTTGTTGTGTTTTCGGTAAGAAAAAATGACATAATTAGAGATGATGAAAGATGAGGAATGTTTTTAATGAAGTTAGATGGCTGAAGTTGACACACTTAAGAAATGTAGTAGCAATTTTAGGTGTTTTCCTTTAAGAGTTGTTAGGTTCAGGTGTCTTCACACTAGACTTGTAAGTATCGGTGCATTCACACTAGAGTAGCTATGTTCAGGTGCCCTCACATCAGATTCATATCTTGTGGTGCCTTCACAATAGAGTCTTATCTTCAGTTGACTTCACATTTGAGTCTTACGTTCAGGTGCATTCACACTAGAGTAGCTATGTTCAGGTGCCTTCACACTAGAGTCTTACTTTCAGGTGCATTCACACTAGAGTGGCTATGGTCATGTGCCTTCATACTAGAGTCTTACTTTCAGGTGCATTCAAACTAGAGTAGCTATGTTCAGGTGCATTCACACTAGAGTCGCTGTTTTCACAAAATTACAAATATTAATAAAATTGAAGCGATTCTCCACAAATGACTGCTGATTGACCTGCAAATTATTCAAAATTGATTGCGGTTTTTGCACATGGACATGTAAATAAATAAATAAAATTATTCGTTCAAGAATTTTTCAATTAAAGGTTTGAGGTGAGCGTAAATTGATGATATTTTGTGGGATTCGAAATGGCAAGCGTTATTTATTTTTTTATAGGAAAATATTTTGTGATATTTTGTTGATGCAATGGTGTTGCTGACGTGGGAATTTAATGAATTGTAAATTGGGGAGTTGACATTTGGTTGAGGGTGGGTGTAGAGAACTGTAATTATGTTGACAAAAATGAATTTTTGATGCTATTTTGAGTGAAATTTGATATTAATTTTAATTTATGTGTTTATTTTTCAAAATTTTTGTTTTTCAAAAATTTCAAAATGTTAAAACCGAGAAAAATGTTAAGTTTTTTTAAAATAATGTTTAAAAATATTAGAAATCAAATTCAAAAAATTAAAAAAAAAATTTATCAAAAAAAATTCAAATATTTAAAACCAGTTAAAATTTCAAATTTTAGAAAACCGTTAAAAATTTCAAATTAGCAAATACTTTTAAAAACATAAATTTTCAATTCCTAGTAGCAATAAACTCTACAATATTTATAAACTGAGAACAAATTTCCAGCAAGAGAACCCAAAGCAACATTTCCATCGTCTTATTCTCACTTTCTCTTTGGAACTTCTCATCACATTCCACCGTGCTCAGTTCTATCGCGACTTTCAAAGCGAGAACGTTAAAGAAAATGATGGAAAACGTTCTCACGTGTGCATGAGTTCGAGAATTTTATGTCAATTATGTTCGATTTTATGCTCCGGTATGAATTTTAATGAGTTTGAGTTCGATCGGAAGTTCAGGGCAGACAATTTGTGATGGATTTTAAAAGATAAAGTTTGGAGAAGGTGGTGGGACAAATTGAGGGAGGTTTGTGAAGTTTAAGAGAGCAATTGCAAGTTTTTAATAGCTTTTTTTTTTTTTTTTCATATTTCAAAAAAATGATTTTTGAGGAATTCATTCGAAAGAGCTTTTTGAGGTTAGAATTCATTCGAAAGAGCTTTTTGAGGTTAGAATTGATTTGGAAAAGTTTTTTGAGGTTAGAACTTATCAAAAAGAGCTTTTTGAGATTAGAATTTATTGTAAAAAGCTTTTTTTTTTGATTTTTTAAGGTTAAGAAGCTGACAAAGCTTCTAAAAGTTCATCAAGATATGAAATTAAAAACAAAATCATTATTTAAAATTCAAAAAGCTGTCAAGTGAATAAAAGCAAATCAAAATGACATAAAAAAGTGCAAAACAAATCAAAAGGAAGTAAAAATTAAATTCCCACGTGCGTCATTTAGTCCTCCCTATCCAAATTCTCCAAAAAAAGAGCAGAGGTAGAATATCGATTTTCATTAACAACAAGCACAACAAAAAAAATGAGGGAAGAAGGCTCTGTGTGTGTTTGTGTGAGAGCAATTGAAATTTATATTCATAAATAATATTTTTGCTGCGAAATTGAATTCAAATGGATTTTTTTCTTCTTCTTTATGAACAGCACGGCAATGATTTATGGATGATTTATTAATCGCAATGAGCTCCTGTGCCTGCAATATGTTCGGGAAATTTTTATGATTTCTTTTTTTTGGTACTGAAATGATAAAATTGTAATGTTGATATGATGAATGTTGAGTTAAATTGAGAGGAAAAGTTCTTTTCCCGCGCAAATTTTAGTTTATTTTGATTTTGAGGTTAAAATTTTAATTTTTGAGGTTGGAATTTTAAATTTTGAAGTTATTGCCCATTCAGTCTTCAACTCCCAACTTCTATAATTTTCCCAAAAAAATGCTAATTTTCTACCTTAAAAAAATTCTACATAACCTCAAATTATCCCCCAAATCATCCACAGACACTATATTTTAGCAAATTCTACGTCTGCACCAACATGAAAAATTTCTTCTATTTAAAAAAAAACTTTTTCGATATTGATACGATATTTATTTAGAGCTAGACATGTTCTCTATGGTAATTACATGTCATGAATGCTTCTGATCCATGAACTATGCATGTTCATGAATACACACAAAATAAAAATAAAGTTTCATATTTCCATATTGACTCACGTAACTTTTGTACAGAAAGGCCTGTTCTGAATTTTATGAATTTGACAATAGTAATTTGCATGGTTTGGAATAGCTTCTGGTGAGTGTGTGTTGGATGTATGAGCTCAATTGCAGATTATATGAGGAATTTTGCATAATTGGTTGAGGAGAATGATCGAGTTTTTGGTTACAAAGGGGATACATAATTGGGAAATAATGTCATTTGGTCTACCTAACCTCAAAAATTTGAAATTCTAACCTAAAGAATTAAAATTTTCTAAC